AAATAAAGATACGCAAACTAAATTGAGAAAAATACTATGCTAAAGTCTCAAACGCTCATTAATTTAAGCTTTGGATGGGATAAGCTGGGTATTCACCCGGCCCCTTTCCTAACCTATTGGTTGTTTCAGGTTTACCATCCAGAAGATCGCCACCCGTATTCATTGCAGGAATTCTCCCGTGCAATACATACATACATACGTATACATGTGTGTGTGTGTGTGTGTCACAAATAAGGGAGGACTTGAGAATTTTTTTTGTCATATTTTCTTGTTTACTAGAACTTTAATTAATTAGATTGCAAAACAAATTTTCTCCAATCCGCACCACTCTTTGCTTTCTCTTCATCTTAAACCTTTACTATTCCACTATTTAATCTTACTTTTAATTCTTTTGATTGTAAACCTTCTCCTTTAAATTTCTACTTTATGTTAAATCTCCACTTAAGTTTTGTTTATTAATAATGCATCATCATCCAATAATGTACATCATTATCGATGTGCCTAAATAATCTAATCCATAATCATCTCTTATACACTTGTTAGCTAGTGCAAAGATTCGAGGGTGGTTTAATNCGGTTTTCCTTTATCTTAAATGGGATTGATAATTAAGACGTGTGGTTTTGTCAGAGAAATTAATCTTCTAGGTTGTATGAAATGCTTGATAGGTAAGTATACATACATACATTTATATATGACGAGACTTTAGGCAGCTCAACAGCCCTCAAACCGACACGTGGGTAGACATAGCCGTTATGGAGCTCAAAAGGCGCTGGAAGATAACGCCGAGGAGTAATGGCTCGGAGGAGCTGAGTAGACAGGCTGGGACTAGCATTTAAGGAGATATGACGGCTCATTAATGAAGACTTCAGTGACTATGACATGGCTATTAATGAGTCTCTGCATCCTCGAGACCCAAATTGACAGTCATAATTGCAAAGCATTAATGACTATTGCGTTGAACATATGTTTTCTGAGCATTAAACACTCGGGAGTAGGTATCAAACACCAATCAGATGGATTTGAATGATCGGAGATAGGATCATAAGTGCTCGGCATGCCCCGAGTAGTCAACCTATCGCCTGAGTGAGCTAGTCATGAGAATCTTAGTGGAGAACACTCATTACGCATGGATAAGAGTGCAAGTTATTAAATGGTGAGATGAGACTCCAAACCCTTGCACTTATTTCTAGTCTAGGTATAAATACTCCTTAGAAAAATAAACAAAGATACGCAAACTAAATTGAGAAAAATACTATGCTAAAGTCTTAAACGCTCATTAATTTAAGCTTTGGATGGGATAAGCCGGGTATTCACTTGGCCCCTTTCCTAACCTATTGGTTGTTTCAGGTTTACCATCCAGAAGATCGCCACCCGTATTCATTGCAGGAATTCTCCCGTGCAATACATACATACATACATATGTATACATATGTGTGTGTGTGTGTGTGTCACAAATAAGGGAGGACTTGAGAATTTTTTTTGTCATATTTTCTTGTTTACTAGAACTTTAATTAATTAGATTGCAAAACAAATTTTCTCCAATCCGCACCACTCTTTGCTTTCTCTTCATCTTAAACCTTTACTATTCCACTATTTAATCTTACTTTTAATTCTTTTGATTGTAAACCTTCTCCTTTAAATTTCTACTTTATGTTAAATCTCCACTTAAGTTTTGTTTATTAATAATGCATCATCATCCAATAATGTACATCATTATCGATGTGCCTAAATAATCTAATCCATAATCATCTCTTATACACTTGTTAGCTAGTGCAAAGATTCGAGGGTGGTTTAATGGATTTTGATTGCCTTTTACTGTATGAAAAATACTATTTGAAGTTAGTTTGGGGATCCAATTCATTTGAATTGGAAGTCAAAATGGGACAAGACATGATTAATCAAATATATTTGGATTACATTATTATTATCCCTATAAATAATAATAATAATTTATTAAATGAGTTGTGTCAGATAACTTGTTTAATAAATGAATCGTGTTTTGTAGATTTCTACCGATTTAATTAAATGAATCGTGTATGGGTTGAATGATTTTTTCACATGAACTCGATTAGACCTAACATAAACTCGCTTAAACTAACATGATTGACACATCTGCCTATAATATTGCTCTTACTATATTATTGTGACCTTAGTAGTTTTTAACTTTTTTTTTTGAAATGAATAACTTTCAACTTGAAATGCAAATTGTTCAGAGTTAGACTACGGTGGTGTTTTATAAAATTAAAAATTGAACACTAAAAATTGAATGCTAAATTTTTTAATTCATTGACTATTTAGTATCTACTAAAATTTAAATATTGAATCAAATCAAATTATTTGACAAATATAAGAAGCTGGAGTTTTTAAATTATTATTATTCTAATTTTGCCATTCTTTTTAACTATTTCTCCGCAACTACCTTATTCCTATCACCACTGTCACAATAATTGTGGTAGTGGTAATGACAGTGGTGTTAGTGGTGGTGGAAGTGGTGACGGCGCCGACACAATAGTGTCGACAATGGTGGTGATGACAACGATAACGGTGGTGACGGCAACGATAGCGGTGGTGACACAACAACAGTGGTAATGATGGCAGTGATATAATAGTGGTGGTGGCAATGATGGTGGCGGCTGAGGTGGAAGTGGTACAATGATAGTGATGGTGGTAGTGATATAATGGCGGTGACAGTGGCGACATAATGATTATAGCAATGGTGATAATGGTAGTGGTGATAGTGACAGTGATTATGATAGCGGTGCCACAATGGTAGTGGTTGTGGTAACGGCATAATGATAGCGATGAAAAGAGTGACACAATGGTCGCGGCGATGGTGGTGGTTGGCGGCGACACAATCGTGGTGGCGGTGGTGGATGTTGGGTATTGAAAAAATAAGAGTGTAAAATGCATTGAGGGTATGTTTATCCGTTGTGAGAAATTGATAAAATCGTTATTACAAATATTTTTAGCATTGAGTAATAAGTAGGTGACTTGTTATTTAAAATTTTAGCTTATTTTAAAGAAGTATTGAAAATATTAAATGGTATGAGTGTTAAGTTATCAAATGAATTTAATTCATTAAGTGCTTAAAATATTTAGTTTTAAGCATTAAATGATATTATGATACACCCCTACACATTGCACTAATTCCTAATAGTACAAATCCAAATTACCTTTTAAGGGTATTTGTGAATTTTTGTCAGTGATTCTTATCTGGTAAGTGATCACAAGTACAGACTGGTCAATCATCTGATAACTAGGATCCGATTCTTGCTCATTTGGCTCCATCCTCTATACAATAATGCAAAAAGAAAAAGGAAGAGCACAATGCAAATTTACTACTTTACCACTTGTCCCATGGAGTTGGATGCTTCTTTTTTCTGAACCGGAATAAAGTTTGTTTCGTCACTTATTGTAGTGTTAGTTCCATCATCAAAGTGGCAAAGAGGAATAAAGCAAGTCTGCATTCCAATTGAAACTTCGAGGATCAGATAAGAATCAAATGTATACTTTAAGGGTATAAATCGTAATTCATCCTTATTCAAAGTGTGGGACCTATAATTTTCCCCTTTCATCCATGGATCACATGTTTCAGGATTATAACCTTTTCTATTTGTTGAAAAATTAATTTAATTTATTAATATATTAGAATCATAACAATTAATACATCATTAAATCAATAAATAAGATAAAAAATTGATAATATTATTATTTATAAAATTTATGTGGAACTACTCATGTCAGATATCCAAAGCGAATGGCTGACTAGTAAAGTACTGATGGGACCCATAGTTTATTCTTTATATTAGTTTTAGATAAATTTCAAATGGACCTTCTTACATTTAATTTTATCAGACAAACATCCCCTTACATTCCAACAATAGTATTGAGATTCTTTGACATTTAAACGTGGGCTATTGCAAATTTTAAAACGTGGAGAAAGATAAAAATAGGGCAAATTGCATTTTAATTTGGGTTAATCTCAACTTATATTCTGAAAGATCATTTAAATATTAATTTACACCTTTAAAATTTAAAAATATCAATTTACACCTTAATTGACATAAATTCGTAATAATGTGCACGCGGAGCTAGTCGCCATCCATTTTGCAGTTAAAAAAGTTTGGCTAATTATAAATTGCACCTTCAAATTTAAATATTTTACATTTATAATCCAAAAAAAATTTCATTCATTAATACTTGTTAAATATCTTTTAATGTGTCGTGTCTGTTTGTGTCATGTCATATTATTTTGGTATTCTGTTCGAGTCAATAAAAAATTATTTTTAATATAAATAATATTTTCTTGTCGAGTCAATTGCATTATGTCGTATATTTCACTAATACTATTTAAAAAAATTTAAAATACCTATTTTTTGTAATAGTATGAAACTAATAAAATTTAAGCGGAAGTTCAAGTACTAATAAAGACGAACTGTAAACTCAGATGTTCTGAGTTTGAATCTTGGCTACTTTTTAGGGTCAGGTCATGAGAGATTTATTCTTCATGAATACTCTATTCTCAGTTTGTATGACTTGTCTTTGATCGGATTCAAGAAAAGATTAGTTGAGGTGCGCGTAAGTTAACCTAAACCCTCTAGACCGTTGAACCAATAAAAAAAAAAAAAGAAACTAATAACCATAGTTGATAGAGCAATACCCAAAATATGATACTTGAGGGTGCAATGTAAGACGGGAATCATAGTTGAGGCAGTCAAAGTGTAAATCAACCTAAAAATAAAGAGGAAATTAGAAAAAAAAAAGAAAAATGTTGGAGTACCTGACTCATCGTGCAAAAGATGGAAGTAACTCCAGGATGGTTTCCTGATACTTGACTTGCACGGGAAAAAGGAGACCATTCTTTGTTTCTTTTTTCCACTTTTCCTTTCGACCAGAGAGGGGTCTCTTATCCAAACTGCATATATACAGCAATTTTCATGCAATTCATAAAATTTGTACCAGCAATCATTGGTATATAGGTGACATATTCTGAGAAGAAAATGGCTTTGCAGCAAAGAGGTGGCTTCTCCACTCCTCACTGGAAGGGTGTAAGTAAAACCTTTCTAGTTCTCCACTCTACATATATGTTGTCTTTGCTTAAATCCCTTCTGTATGGATATGTTTGGAGAATATAATGTAAATGATATATCCATTGTTCTATGAACCACAGTGGAAATGAATTCTGTCTTGGGAGTATACACTCAACTGATTATTCTCCCTGACAAATCCTAACTGCCATCTCTTCATAACTTATAAGGATTCATATGATCATTTGGTAATATGTAGTGGACTAGTGGGGTGTTTGGTTTAGGTATAATAAGATATTGAGATTGAACGATTGATTTCAAGCCGATACATATCGGCGAAGTAATCTGTGTACTATATAATTCTAAGTCATGTTTACCATGTTTGGATTACGGAGCATCCATGATAATATGAGGTGGATTAAGTAGTGATGTATGGTACTAATCTGAAAATGACAAGACCACATTTACATCCAAACTCATAAAAACTGTGGTTAGATATACTTTGATCATTTCAGATCCTAATAACAACTAGAATTGTTTTCATATTGTCTATAACATTGGATTGGTTTGTATCGTTTACATGGTGTTGTTTGACATTGTAGCATAGTGTCGGTCATGATAAAACCGTGATTTATTTCATTATGCAAGCATAACATTAAGTTATCATTGAACTAATGTAGTCTAAATGTTTATTTAACAAATAAAAAACACTGTTTGGTAACGAGTTTGCGCATTTATGTCAACAGAATCCGTCTATCATAAGCACCCAAGATTTTATGGGATGTTTAAAAATCCCTGTCCGAGCACTGAACATCATTTGGGGCAACGACAGTCGATTCTGGGAATGGATCAATCTCTCTGATGAAGATACAAGGTAAGAAGCCTAATTATCGTATTCTTCCACAGATACTATGCGTGTTAGTTACAAATACTCTTTTGTCAACTCAAAGCAACTACTAGAAGAAAGAAGCTTCCTCTATTTTTAGGACGGATTACAATTTGACTCTCTCAACTATGACCCTACAGTCTCGCCTTTCCTATTTAATATTGAGTTTCTTATATTTTTGCTCCACTACTTGCATTGTTTTCATAAATTAAACTAAATTAAATCAAACCAAACCAAGTCTTATGTCTCAATTATTTGGGGTCGACTATATAAGTCCGTTTTTGCCATTCATTTTAATCCTGCATTATACGCTCATTTAAGTTAAATATTTTTATATTTTTTTTTATTATTTTGTTCAATGTTAATTTAGATCTACCTCTACTTCTAGTACCATTAAAAGACATTATCTCACTTTTTTGACAGTCCCTCTATCGGCCTTCGTTGAACATAACTAAATCATCTTAATCTATTTTCTTTTAACTTATCATAATTTGAGCTACTCTTAACATTTTTCTAATACGGCCATTTCGTATTCTATCATTTCTAGTTTTTTCACACATGCACCTTAACATTTTGATTTCCGCTACACTGATTTTTGCACTATGCTGTTTCCTAGTTGCCCAACTTTCTATCCCATATAATATTGTTGTCTTTATAACTGTTAGATAAAATTTATCTTTCAATTTTATTGGTATCCTTCTGTCACATAATATGTCAAAGACTTTCTCCACTTAAGTCACCCAACATTGATTCTATGAGTTACGTTATCTCCAATCTCTCTATCATTTTTAATGATCGATCCTAGATATCTAAATTGTTTACTCGTTGGTATTTCTTGATTTTCAATCTTAACTTTTTCACTATGTTTGCTTTTTTTATTGCTAAAATTACATTGCATATATTTAATCTTATTTCTACTTATTTTAAACCCTTTCGACTTGAGTGTCTATCTCCAAATTTTTAACTTATTGTTAATCCCCCTTCAAGTTTCATCTTCTAAGACAATATAATTTGCAAATAGCATACACCATGGGACATCATCTTGAATATGCCTAGTGAGTTCATCCATAATTAGGGCGAATAAGTATGAACTTAAGATCGATCCTTGGTATAATCCCATCGTGATTGAAAATTCTTTACTTTCTTCCACGAAAGACTTAATTGTAGTCATAGTCCCGTCATACATGCCCTTTATTATCTCAATATACTTATTCATCACTCTTTTTCGCTCAAGCACCCTCCATATTATATTTCTAGGTATTTTATTATACGTTTTTTTTAGATTTATAAATACCATATGAAGATTTTTCTTTTTTTCTTTATACTTTTCTATTAGTGTTTTCAATAAATATATAGCTTCTATAGTTGATCTACCTGACATAAACTAAAATTGATTTTCTGACATTTTAGTCTCAACTCTTAGGCACCGTTCAATGACCCTTTCCCATAATTTTATTGTATGACTTATTAATTTTATCCTTCTATAATTATTACAATTTTTAATATCTCATTTATTTTTATAGGCAGGTACTAAAATACATTTTCTCCATTTATCGGGCATTTTCCTAATAGAAACAATTCTATTGAATTATTTCATTAACCACGTCCCCCCTAATTCTCTAAGCACTTCCAAATCTCAATTGGAATCTCATCCGGTCCTAAAGTCTTATCTAATTTCATTTTTTTTCAATGCAAACTACCTCTGAATTCTTTATTCTACGAAAGAAAGTTTCATGATTCCTATAATTTTCTATCTCTTCTATGTTTCTTAAGTGATTTTCATTTAATAGTTTCTCAAAATAGTTTTTCCATTAATAATTTATTTCCTCAACTTTAACTAAAACCTTTGAGTCCTCGTCCTTAATGCACTTAATTTGGTTAAAATCTCTTGTTTTTCTTTCTCTAATTTTAACTAGTTTGTTGTAGATGTCTTTTTCTCCCTCTTTACTATCTAGTTTTTTGTACAACTTGTCATAGGCTTTTAATTTAGCATCTCTAACTATATTTTTAACCTTTTTGTTAGTTAATTTATATCTTTGGAAGTTCTCTATTTCTATCATTTTTTCATCTTTTAAAAGATTCTTTCTTTGCTCTAACTACCTCTTGTACGTTGTCATTCCATCACTAAATTTCTTTTTTCACAAGTCCTTTACCCTTTGACTCCCCAAGAACCCCTATCGAAATTTTCTTAATGTCTTTCGTCATTCTACTCCACATAACGTTTATCTCATCCTCTAGGTTCCATAAGGCCTCTTTAAGCATTTTACTCCTAAATAGTACTAGTTTCTCATCTTTTAGATTCCACCATCTCGTTCTTATTTTTCTAATGCGTCCCCTTACTCTATGTTTCTCTTTAATATACAAATTTAGAATTATTAGCCTATGTTGAGATGTTAAGTTTTCGCCCAATATAACTTTACAATCTTTACATGATAATCGGTCCGTTCTTATACTTAAGAATTAGTCTACTTGACTTTTGTTTGGTCCGCTCTTAAAGGTTATTAGATGTTCTTCTCATTTTTCAAACAAGGTGTTTGCCACTACAAGATCATATGTCATTGCAAACTCTAAAATACTCTCTCTGACTTCATTTTGATCACCATATTCATAACCACCATGACTCTTCTTATATTGTGTCCTATCTTTTTCTACATATCCATTGAAATCTCCACCTATGATTATCTTTTCTTCCATAGGCATATATTGAACTAATTCATCCATTTGCTTTCAAAATTACTTTTTAATATGTTCGTCTAACCCTACTTGAGATGCATAAGCACTAATCACATTAATTATATTCTCTCTGACGATAAGTTTGATAGATATAATCCTATCTCATTTCCTTGTAACTGTTACTACGCTATCTTGTAGGTCTTTATCTACAACTATTAATACTTTATTTCTTCATCTATCATTTCTCGTATAGTAAATCGTACATCATATATTTTGTATCTCCCTTGCCTTCTCACCTATCCACTTAATTTCTTGTAAAAATGCTACACTTGCTTTTTTTTTTTTATAGTTCCCCAAAATCAAACTTATGTACACGTTCACGTGTAGTAAAATACACCTTTGAATGTCTATAACGGGACAATGAGAAGGCACTTACCATGATTGGGTTTTTCTGTCAAAAAGCGAAAAGATCTGATCCAACAGAAATCGTAATTTTACCTACTGTCGATGTTCAGGTCAATTGGCTTTCAAGAAGCTGCAGTGCTTCTACAGGTCAACTGGATCGAGGTCACTGGGAAATTTGACCTCAACAAACTGTTCAGGAATACTACCTATAATATATACTATGCGATGAAGTTCCATGATGATGCATTTGGGTGGCGTTTATCTCCGATCAAGTTCAAGGTGGGAATCGCTGGAGAAGTGAGTGAGGTCATCCATGAACTCGAGTCGTACCGGGCTAAACAGAACAAGTGGCACGAGGTCCCCGGGGGAGAATTTACAGTACCGAATGACACTGCTGGAAGTGTTGAGTTTGGAATGTTCGAAGTTGATACACAGTATTGGAAAGGTTGTATGGTCCTAGGAGGTGTTTTAATTAAGCCAAAATCATGATTGCCTGTAGTTATTTCTTGAAGGAAGGTATTGAAGGTGACATGCTGGGTGTTAAATTGTTCACTTTGAGATAAATAAATTGAATGTTGCTTCTATATGTTTGCTATTTTTTTGAGACAAAATAAAACATACATTGACTTTTTGCCAAATTACAGCTTTTTTCCATACTTGCTTACCTTTCGATATCAAGTGTGTGTTTGTTCACACTATTTAAATAAGAAATCAAAGTATGATGGTGGTGAAGTCCATTGAAGTATAAGGATGTCAACTACACCATCCATAATAACTTAAATTTTTAGAGTTATTTGTTGTTTAACGTGGTATTAGAGTAGGAGTTTCTGTATCCGACTCTAGGCTGATAATTAAAAGATTTTCACATATTAAAACCAAAATCTAGCATACATGTGAGGGGCATGTTGATGTATAAGTATTTAAATTACATCCCATTTAATAAGCTAAACATTTAGAGTAGATAATAGTTTAACAAGTACTCATCTTTGCTCGTCCAAGGCATAAGTCATTAATGCCATTGCCTAGGCCCCCTAATGAGAAAAAAATTTTGGGCCCCTTAAAAATAATTTTGAATATGTTATTAAACTTAATTTCGGGATTTAATTTGAGAATTTAATATATTTTAACTATTAGATGAGCGTGGGTGTTAACATGTAATAAAATTAACTATCAATCGAATGACTATACTCCATTAAGTTTTCAAATTAGATCCCTAAAATAAGTATAAGTTCGATTATTGAAAAAAAAATTAGAATCTCTTTCAAATAAATTTATATTTCTTTAGGTTAAATTTGAAGTCATGTTTTATTTAAGTTAGATTTTTACTTAATTGTTTTATAAAACACACAAAATGATCATAAAAGAAAGAGCGTAGGAGTAGCTCAGTATCCAAATCTAATCGTAAATATGGTTGTTTTGCTAAATTTTATTATTTAAACATAGCTATGGTTTCCTTCAATCTTAATCATGGCTCATTTATTTATGACCATTCAACTTACAATAATTACTATTTTGACATTTATTCTAGAAAAAAAAAAAAAATTTAGAAGTTGGTACATTTTTTTAGACAAAAGTACAATATAGATATTAGTAGGGCCCCATTTAACACTTTTGCCTAGGGCCCCACTTATGTTGGGCTGCCCCCTGCTCACCTCCATCCATGGTCAGTGAACTGATTGTTCAAAGTGATTTCCCTTACCCTAAATCAGATGACTTGCAATGCATGCGTTCCAAACAGAGAAATTTCACAACACAACAAGCCTGCATTTGGTGGGTGGTGTCTCAAACTAGTCTTCATTTTTTATGGGTGAACCTTTACTACAATGGTTTGGCTGTAGAAGCATGAAAACATCTCAGTATGTTTTTTAGGATTTGTTTGTGATCTCGTACATAAATTGGAATCAAAGTTGTTGTTGCTGGATGTTCATGACAAAATTTGAAATAAAAATTTTTATGGTAGGAATAGTTTTAGTTTTTGCCGATTAAGATGTGTGTTTTTGTGAACAAAGACGTTTTACGAATGTGCCTGAGAGCCACTAGCTACTTGAGGCCTAAATTGCTAATCTCAAAAAAAAAAAAAAAAAAAGGCTCGCAATATAATTTATTTGTCTCTTACAGATGAGGTTTTACGTGAGATCACCCATGAATAAATCGTCACAAGCTTTGGAATAAACTAAGGAGTTTATAGATAAATATGTTAATTTCTCACCAACCAACTGTATTTGAGACAATGGTTGTGTACACCTCAGCAGGGGCAAAGCCAGGGTTGTCTTAGAATGGGGGCAATCAATAATCTTAGGAGAATAACCACATAATAAAATCGTCATTTTTTTTTTTGCAAATTTGAATTGATTTTCACATAACAATCACACAAAATTCAGAGATCCAAATTTAATTTACAAATATTTTTAAATTTGATATGAATATTCAACAAATTTTTTATTAGTTTATATCCAAATAAGGTAAATATTAAATATTCGAGCGGATATATAAGTTCTTTAGAGTTGACTTTTATTAAAGTACATTTTAGTTCGATTCAATTGCATCAAGTAATATTCAATTTCATTGTATATCCGCCTATATAAATGTAATAAATCGGATTATATCATAATCAAATTAGAGTTTGGTAAATCAAAATTTAAATTCGTGAAATAGGACATAATTGATTTGGATTTGGATAATCAGTTAAAGTTATCAATTTAAATCTAACTAATCGAGTTCCGACTCAAATTGAATTCAAGTTAAAATTCAATATGTTAAGAGATCAAAATTTTAAATTTATGAAATAATCCCATTTAATTTTTAAAATATGAAACTATACCCATTTTTTTTTATAAATTTTTGTGGGGGCAAGATTTAGAAAAACTTCAGATTTTTTAGAATTTTAAAAAAACCCCAAAAATTTTAGAAATTTCAATGGAGACAATTGACCCATTGCCCCTACCTTGTATTCGCCCCTCCCCTGCACCAAAGATGAGAAAAAGGTACACCCAATGAACATTTCATGAATTCAAATATATATAATGGACTTAAAAGAACACTAATTTCCTATGTCAAAAATACTATCTTTTTAGCCGATTTGAAAGTCTCTATGAATTTTAAAGAGTTGCGAGCTAAATTACATAGAGAAGACAATGACGGTCATTTCCATGGTTGTCACCTTCCCCATCGGTCCCCTCTAACCACATCTCTCTACCTCTGCCCATGTCCGTTAGCTCACCAACCATGGTCACCCTCACTCTTCATCCCCCAAATATAACCCCATGGCAAACGCCCTACCACATGTAGTCCACGACACACCACCACAAAAACCTCAATAACGATCGACCCACCACCTCCATGAAATCAGGCCACCATGACTAGCAATAGTTGTGGTTGATTATCCTTTTATTCGACATAAATTTGTACTGAAACTCATTAGGAGATAGAAAGGCATGGACAGAATAGATGTTGAACATATAAGAAGCAAGCTTGATTAACCCACTGTGCAGTGCTTCAAGAATTAATGTTTTTTTTTTTGCTTGGCTAATAGGACATTTCCCGATGCAAATACTTTTAGCGTTGACGAAGCTAAGTAGCAAAAAACAAAGTCGCAAATAGTGAAGCAAGCTTGATGAACCCACTTTGCTGCTTTGTGGAGTTGGGAGTGAAGAAATGGGAATGGGTTTCAAAAATTACCCAAAGAGAATCTGATCTACAATCCACCATGAAGGTGCAAAATGCTCTTGATCTTATCCAAAAACCACTTTCTCGAAAGCAAGGAATAAAGAGGGCATGGATGCCTTATTTTGGAACCATGGTATAGTGGTCTATGGAATAAAAGCATTGATGAATACAAAGTCACTTGCTGCCAAATATTTTATTCTAAATAAGCTTTTTGTATAGGTCTTATCATCCATTAAAATTGAAATGCCAATTTTTTTGATAGTCCACTAGTCGCATGCACAATACTCATGCTTGTTTCAATCGAAGGTATGAGGAGGATTTGATGTACGTAGTTGTATCCTGTATGCATTAAGGCTATTTCCATCAAAAGGTTACAATGAAATAATCTTTTCTCCCGATGATATAATACCATACAATGAGCTGTAGTTTTGATTCAATTGTCAACTGGTGCCGAGTCAACAGATTAGACTCTTGTTACTAAAGAGTTTGGACGGATTAGATGTATGTAGTCCTACCCTCGTATTTGGAGAGGTTGTTTCTGCAATTCAAATCCTTGATACTTGGGTTGCAATAGAACAACTTTTTCCCAGCTTTAGTCCTGCACTCCAATAATTAATTCAATGTAAAGTGGAGATGCTATAAACCCACACAAAATTGGACTATCCTATGAACAGCAGTGGGGTTTGTCTTTACCTGATCAATTATGGGTCTGGCCCATATCTTCTATACTAATGGTTAATATGAACTCCTAGTCTCCTCCCTAATTACCCTCAACTACTAGTATATAAGTAACTCATGGGGACCTGTATATGAAGGCTAAGTTTGTTCCAACAACTGTAAGTAATACTATCCTACTGATATATCTCTACAATAGATGCTTAATACCAAGGTTTTGCCTTAAATTCCTTTCTGATTCTGAGGGGCAATATTTTGTTCATTAATCACCCCAGACTGTTTCATTTCCCTGTAAAGATCATTTCATTCACGAGTACGTTCCCAAGAGATATCAAAACATCAAAAGAAATTGACCCTAGCTGCCAAAAAAAAAATCAGTTCAGAGAAGTAGTTTTTGATTTTGAGGAGATGGGGGCAGGATTGTCACAAGATAAAGCTAACGCTACACAGTCTGATAAAGAACAGAGAGAGTCATCGGAGATCCCCGTCATCAATGCCGACACAACGGAGAAAAGATCAGAAGTGAAACTCCCTCATAGATATGAAGCCATTCTAAAAGATGCAGACTCGCCCATTGATAGCTCCTCTACAGAAAAGCTGTATGAACAGCTCTATGCTGGAGTGTTTTTGAACAAAAAGAGGAAGGCAAGTCTCATACAAATGTGTGCAGAAAGAATGTGTTATGAATTGTTTTATAGCTGTGCTGCTTCAATTTGTTACTATCTTTTGACAAGGCTAGGCGGAAGTGAGAGATGTGGTTAATTCAGGGTTTATGACAGGGGTGTCAATCGTATCGTGTCATTTCGAATTCATATCGAGTATTAGTCAATTCTAACTTAACCTGTTTAACTAATCGTGTCGACACTATTTATTTATTTTTGTTTCGTATTCGTGTTGACCCGTATAACTCGCAAATAAAAAATTTAATACTCAGATTTAAGTTTAAAATTTAATTGTCACTTAATTGAACCTATGCTCATACTTTTTTCTATAAATTAAAAATTAACTTAATAAATAAATAACAAAAATGAGTAAAAATGTCTTTTTTTGTATAATAATTATGTCATTACTTGATAAAATATAATAAAAATTAATATTTTATTCTTAAAATATTAATTAAACGTGTTAATCGTGTCAATTTCGTATTGTTCGTGATTGACATTAGCTCGACCTATTTATTATTCATGTTAATGAGTCGTATTATTTTCTAGTTCAACTCGAGAAATGATCAACTTTAATCTGTTAATTTCGTATTGATTTCGAATCGTGTTGTCGTGTTCTATCAAAAATTGTCGCACTTAGTTTATTGGTTCTTTAATTTGTTACTAGGCCTATATAGCATGACTCATCAAAAATTGGTTGACTGGTGTGACTCTGTGGTTCCTATCTTTGGGACCTACTTTCTATTCCCATCACAAATGCATGATTTTCCCGTCTAAAACTGCAAACCTTTGGTGCATTTAGAAAGTTATGACCTATGTGTCAGTATTCGAGACAAGAAGATGGTCTCTTTGCATTTGAATGTAAGCTTACCTACACCAATTATCTCGTCTATTGTGTTGCTATTTCTTTTTCTATGCAGGAGTGACACTAGTAGTTCTAGTAATTAATGTTGTTATTACTACCATTATGATTGTTTTAATCATAAAAATATCTTGTTTATGCATGCAGAAGTATTGGGTGGAAAGGAAGTCCACCTACAACAGCTTCATGTTGTTTGCTAGAGATCTCTCAATTACGTGGGCCGACGACAATCGTTTCTGGCACTGGCCGTACCTACCAGAAACAAAGTAAGGGGAAGAAAGGGTTAATCCATGCTAAGACAAATACGCCATACAAATTATGATTGTAGTTAGCTTCGAAACCGAAATGTTTTGAAAATCTTTCTGAAACGCATCTAAACAGCTTGGATTTTCAAACATGTTGATTTCCCATCACTAATAGAAAGTCAACAGTTTGATGGAATGAAACAAAATTAAAATTTTTGTTGCTTCGATGGTTTTGATGGGAACGAAATGAAACGTTGGTTATTGGCCGAGAGAGCTATTTGCTGAAAAATATGGATAGAAATTCAAATTTTTAAGCTTTAAAATGGAGTTGGATCAATTATACTTTGACCCCGTTAAACTATAAACATGATCTCACTTTGCCCCTTAAATTAATAAAATTTTCACCTTATACCTTTTATGATTTGAATTGGGTTCAAATATCCCCAAAATACAAACTAAAAATAACTACGTGTCAGGGCTAAGTGAAATAAAATCATTTAGTTCGTGAAATAAAGTGAAACAACTGTTTATCAAATTAGTAATGGACATTAATGGGGCAGTGTGAAACTAACTACAGGTATAATGTCAAAAAGATGACACTCTGAGGGACAATGTAAAATAGGGTCAAAATTGAGGGGTCAAAGTGTACTTTATCAACATTGCGTAGAATATTTTTTTTTGCTCATAACATTGCGTAGAATAAAACTCCATTAAGATATACGTTTTCTTATCTGTGTAGTGACTACAAAAGTTTTTTGTTCCTAACGAATATCTTAATCACGATGTGAATGACCTACTTTTGATCGGATTGGAGAGGGGAATAGTCAAGGTGCTCGTAAACTGGCCCATACCCATTGACTGTTGAACAAAAAAAAAAAATTTTTTTGTGTTGGAGAATATTAGGGTATCACTTTTTCACCTTTTGGTAGTGTATCTAAAAGTGAAGAGAAAAAACCCAAAAAATAGTATGTTTCACCAAATTGTTATATGTTTCACTTAAAAAAGTACAAAGTGAGCTCAAAAGATGATAATTGAGCCCAAAAAACTAGTGCATTCCAAAAGTTGATAATTTCTACCCCTAAACGGTATAAAAAACACATTACTGAATTTTTTTTTTAGTACCGTAGTCAAATCTTTTTGTCTACCACAATTTTGTACTTATATTCCTAACTATTGTTAATCATTTTTGCAGTAATGTGCTAATTGATGTTGCGGAACTACTGAATGTTTCCTGGCTAGAAATCCACGGAAAATTTGAAACAACAAAGCTGTCACCAGGAGTTACATATGAGGTTGTGTTTGTGGTGATGTTGCGTGATCCAGCTTACGGGTGGCAAGTTCCGGTGAACCTTAGACTCATTCTCCCAGATGGAAGCAGACAAGAACACAAAGAGAACATGATGGAGAAGACTAGAGGACGATGGATAGAGATTCCGGCAGGCGAGTTCACGACGTTGCCGGAGAAGGATGGAGAGGTGGAATTTTCTTTGTATGACTATGATGGTGGAGTTTGGAAGCGAGGTTTAGTCATCAAAGGCGTTGCCATTCGGCCAAAAGACTAAAGCATAAGAAGATTAAGGGATCTCTAAGGCATATGGTTCTTGGTTTAGTTATGTTGTTTCAATAAACATGCAATATCTAAGAGATGGTGCTTAATAGTACATCATGCTTATGTCATACATGTCTCAAATGCTGTGGCAATGTGTACTGATGAGGGAAAGTTAGGTAACACCATTGTAAAAACTCTGACGTAAGGAGTCCCGTGTAAAAGTTATTGTTGGGGGACGTACCAGTCTTCAACTCAGACAGAAAAAGCTCTGAGTCGTGCTAATCTTGATAATCAGCTTCACTCCCCGTGACTGAGTCTTGATACAAGGCTAGGAGATAAGATTGAAGATAATTTAAAAATCAAACGACTCCATGTCCAAGTCAGCAATGTCTGTAGAATTATTGATTCAAATTCTCAATTTTTCCATACCATGATACACGGCTTTAATAGCCCATTTTCTACAAAACTTGTTCCTAAAGAATAAGAGATAAGTATATCACATAATTACAGGGATCAATCTTATCACATAATTACAGGGATCAATCTTATCAATCTATTTACAACTAACTATAAGATAATTATGGTAATCTTTAACACTCCCCCTCAAGTTGGTGCATAGATGTTGTGCATGCCCAACTTGTCCAGAATTCCATGGAAGGCTTGACTTGATATGGCCATAGTGAGAATGTCAACAAGTTGAACTTGAGATCGGACATGAGGAACTTTAATAACCTTCACTTTTAGTTTCTCCTTAATAAAATGTCTGTCAATCTCTACATGTTTAGTTCGATCATGTTGAACAGGATTATGAGCTATGTCACATGCTGCCTTATTATCACAATAGAGTTTTATAGGAGATGCTAGTGAAATTTTGAGTTCCTGCAATAGATTTTTAATCCATAATAGCTCACACACCCTTAGCCATACCTCTATATTCAACTTCTGCACTAGATCTAGCCACAACTTCTTGGTTTTTGCTTCGCCATGTAACCAGGTTTCCTCCAACAAATGTTAAGTACCCCGCGGTTGAACGCCTATCATCAATTGATCCAGCCCAATTTGCATCAATATAGCCTTCAACAGATAAAGTGTCTCCCTTAGAGAACATAATTCCTTTTCCCGGAGAAGGCTTCAAATATCGTAAGATTCATATTATAGCATCCATATGATCTTCACTAGGAGAGTGCATGAATTGACTAACAATACTAAGAAAATATGCTAGGTCAGGCCGAGTATGTGCAAGATACATCAACCGTCCTACAAGTCTTTGATATCATTCTTTATTTGTGGGAATCTAGTCCGGAAATGTACCCAATTTGACGTTTTCAACAGCAAGTGTATCACTTGGTTTGCAACTTAACATGCCGACTTCATTTTGTAAATCTAGAGTATATTTCCGTTGTGACAGGAACATACCTCGTTTAGACCTTAGGACCTTGATTCCCAAAAAATACTTCAATGGTCCAAGATCCTTCATTTCAAACTCACGAGAAAGGTAGGTCTGCAAAGCTTGCCTTTCATCATCATCATCTCCTGTTACAATCATATCGTCGACATATATAATTAGCACAGTGAGCTTTCCTTTATTATGTTTTATGAAGAGAGTATGATCAANATGGTGCTTAATAGTACATCATGCTTATGTCATACATGTCTCAAATGCTGTGGCAATGTGTACTGATGAGGGAAAGTTAGGTAACACCATTGTAAAAACTCTGACGTAAGGAGTCCCGTGTAAAAGTTATTGTTGGGGGACGTACCAGTCTTCAACTCAGACAGAAAAAGCTCTGAGTCGTGCTAATCTTGATAATCAGCTTCACTCCCCGTGACTGAGTCTTGATACAAGGCTAGGAGATAAGATTGAAGATAATTTAAAAATCAAACGACTCCATGTCCAAGTCAGCAATGTCTGTAGAATTATTGATTCAAATTCTCAATTTTTCCATACCATGATACACGGCTTTAATAGCCCATTTTCTACAAAACTTGTTCCTAAAGAATAAGAGATAAGTATATCACATAATTACAGGGATCAATCTTATCACATAATTACAGGGATCAATCTTATCAATCTATTTACAACTAACTATAAGATAATTATGGTAATCTTTAACACTCCCCCTCAAGTTGGTGCATAGATGTTGTGCATGCCCAACTTGTCCAGAATTCCATGGAAGGCTTGACTTGATATGGCCATAGTGAGAATGTCAACAAGTTGAACTTGAGATCGGACATGAGGAACTTTAATAACCTTCACTTTTAGTTTCTCCTTAATAAAATGTCTGTCAATCTCTACATGTTTAGTTCGATCATGTTGAACAGGATTATGAGCTATGTCACATGCTGCCTTATTATCACAATAGAGTTTTATAGGAGATGCTAGTGAAATTTTGAGTTCCTGCAATAGATTTTTAATCCATAATAGCTCACACACCCTTAGCCATACCTCTATATTCAACTTCTGCACTAGATCTAGCCACAACTTCTTGGTTTTTGCTTCGCCATGTAACCAGGTTTCCTCCAACAAATGTTAAGTACCCCGCGGTTGAACGCCTATCATCAATTGATCCAGCCCAATTTGCATCAATATAGCCTTCAACAGATAAAGTGTCTCCCTTAGAGAACATAATTCCTTTTCCCGGAGAAGGCTTCAAATATCGTAAGATTCATATTATAGCATCCATATGATCTTCACTAGGAGAGTGCATGAATTGACTAACAATACTAAGAAAATATGCTAGGTCAGGCCGAGTATGTGCAAGATACATCAACCGTCCTACAAGTCTTTGATATCATTCTTTATTTGTGGGAATCTAGTCCGGAAATGTACCCAATTTGACGTTTTCAACAGCAAGTGTATCACTTGGTTTGCAACTTAACATGCCGACTTCATTTTGTAAATCTAGAGTATATTTCCGTTGTGACAGGAACATACCTCGTTTAGACCTTAGGACCTTGATTCCCAAAAAATACTTCAATGGTCCAAGATCCTTCATTTCAAACTCACGAGAAAGGTAGGTCTGCAAAGCTTGCCTTTCATCATCATCATCTCCTGTTACAATCATATCGTCGACATATATAATTAGCACAGTGAGCTTTCCTTTATTATGTTTTATGAAGAGAGTATGATCAAAATTGCTCTGTCGATATCCAAATGCCTTCATTGAACTTGTAAATCTGCCAAACCAAGCCCTTGGTGATTGTTTTAAACCATACAATGATTTTCGCAATCTACACACTTGTGTGCTTCCTTCAATCTGTAAATTACTTCCTAGAGGCAACTCCATGTATACTTCCTCTTGGAGATTTCCATGTAGGAAAGCATTCTTTACATCAAATTGATGTAGTGGCCAATCAAAATTCACAGCTAATGATAATAGTATACGTACGGTATTTATTTTAGTCACTGGTGCGAAGGTTTCTGCATTGTCAATCCCATATGTTTGACTGTATCCTTTAGCTACAAGTCGAGCTTTAAATCTTTCAATGTCACCATATGCTTTGTATTTAATTGTAAAAATCCATCGACATCCCACAAGTTTTTTTCCAACTAGTAAATCAACCACCTCCCGTGTTGCTTTTTTTTTTTTGATGGGACTTCATCTCCTCGACCGTTGTTTCTTTCCACCTAGAGTCTTTCAAGGCCTCCTGCACACTATTAGGTACATGTACAGTGGATAATTGATTCATAAATGATTCACATGTCTTTGATAACCTATGATATGAAACATAATTGTTCAATGGGTACTTACAAGTAGAATTAAGAACAGGTTCATAACTAACTCTAGGAACTCATCTTGTGGTACGATTAGGAAGTATTCGGAGTGGAGGTTAGTGACTTACTGTAGGTTCCATGACTGAGGATGACTCACAATGAGAAGTAGAACCATCAAGTGGAGACAATTGGTGTTGTGGTCCAACCGGCTCAACCATATTATCATGATCACACAGTGGAAGCTCAGTTGTGCGGCTAGAGGGCAGCAATTCGTTTGTAAGACCAGGGAACTGTTCAAGTCGAGTTGGTGCAACAGTTTCGGGTGATGCAATAGTTTCAGGTTCTGTAGTTTCGGCTGGTTTAGGTTTAGGATTGTGGCTTATGATTTCGGTTGGATGGCTAAGAAACTGCAAGTCGCCGATATCGATACTTTGCTCCCCCTAACTTGCAGTTGAGGTAGTGGGATAATACATCTGGAGTTCATGAAATTGTACGTCCATGGTAACATGAAGTTTGTGAGTTGGTGGGTGGAAACATTTGTACCCCTTTTGATGGAGGCCATAGCCAACAAAGACACATCGAAGCGCACATGGTTGTAGTTTATGACGAGCAGGACTGGGTATGTGCACAAATGCAGTACAACCAAAAACTTTTGGGGGCAGGTTTGACATGGATGGTGAGGACAGGCTTCAATTTAAGGTTTCGAGAGGTGTATGGAAGGTCAAGCTACGGGATGGAATCTGGTTGATCAAGTAGGATGCAACAGTAAGTGATTCACCCCTATAATGAAGAGACATATGGGCGTCAAACAATGTGGCTCGAACCATTTCTAGAAGTTGGCGGTTTTTTCTTTCTGCAACCCCATTTTGTTGGGAAGAAGAGGGGCATGTGGGTTGGTGAATCATGCCATGAATATGTAAGAATTGCTTCAGCTCATGATTTACAAATTCCCCGCCATTATCAGTACGAAGAACTTGAATGGAAGTCTTAAATTGAGTAGCAACCATCGAGTGAAACTGTTTAAATAGTGAGAAAACATCCTGCTTTGTTTTCATCAAACACACCTAAGTCATGCCACTATGATCATCAATAAAAGAAACGAATCATCATGCACCATTAAGTGTTGGAATTTTTGCTGGGCCCTAAACATCAGAGTGTACAAGCATAAATGGAAAAGGACTTCAAACTCAACAGAAATGGAACACGGTGGCTCTTTGCCAATGCACAAACTTCACATTTAAATAGTAATGGAGATGTATTGGTAAATAATTTGGGTAACAAGTGCTTTAAGTATCCAAATGAAGCATGCCCAAATTGTTTGTGCAACAACTAGATAGCAGAAGTAGAGGCCGAACTAGTAACTAATAATGATTGAGCCAATGCACTTGAGCAAGATGAGGCAAGATCAAGATAATAGAGCTTTCCTCTTCTAGTTCCACACTCAATTGTCCTCTGTGTCTTGATGTCCTTAAAGAAACAATGGTTAGGCCAAAAAATCACAACACAATTTAAGGATGTGGTAATTTGAGATACAGATAACAAGTTAAAATTAAGTGAAGGCACCACAAGAACAGAATCTAAAATAAGATTATTTAGAGAGAGGGAACCTTCACCAATTACTGTAGCCGGAGTGC